CTTGATTCTGAGAATGATTTAGAAAATGATGATTGGTTGGCTTGGTTGACTTTCCACCGTTCGATTCGCACTCACAGTGAACTTCAGACTTTCAAAAGTTTATCATGTGCAGACGCTTGGCACGAATTTTGTCGCGATTTAGCCTCGAGCGAGTCTTGAATTCCACAGGGACGAATAATCCCATCGAATTTTCGATCAGTCGGGCCAGTGACGACTTAATCAAACCTAGCCAGATCATCTCTCAGATCGTTTCATTCTTCTCTTCACGTCCGGTTTTTATCAGTCCGCCGTACGCGAAATGAAAAGGTGAAGAAATATCCTGTTGTTTGAAGAACGAAAACACATTCGCAATGCTCTGTTGAGTTCATTTTTGCGTATCTAATTTCCTGCTTATCTATAATAGCTATGTCGCGTTTCTTCGAATTGGAGCAGAACAGAGTCCAAAGTCACAAGTGTTCAACGTTTCTTTATTAAAGCAGAATCGACCTACAGTTGGCTAGGTTTGAACAATGCATATATTACAAATGCGAATAGTGAACTATTCAATAAAAAGAAAAAAAAAAAAAAAGGAAAGAAAAGACTGTGAGAGTCGTGGTTAGCGACTGGAGGGAAAGAAGAGGAGGAAACGGTTTATCGAGTGTCGAATTCGCGTAGACAGGTCTGTCGTAACGAATCATTATCTCTCTAGTTCTTTGTGAATTACTGTTACGAGCATTTTCAATTTCTACGTAACACTCGGCTAACGTTCGTTAACTTCTGTTCGTTGCGAATCCTTTTCACAGCGAATTAAGGCCGAGAGAGAGAAAGATCGAAATCCGTCTGTAAGCGACGGTGCCTGTTGTGTGTTGTCTCGTTCAAATCATCGCCGAGAGCAATTCAAGTTCGCATTATCCAGTTCGCGAACGCGACAAACGTAATTTCCATCGAGATAATAAGACGAGGAGATCGACTTGGTGGTACTTAATGACGCTCAATGACACTTAATCGTGCTTGATGATCAAAGGAATCGGGAGATCAAGCAAGGGCGAGCGACCCGCTGCTCAATAAAAATCGCGGTGCAGCCTTCGTCGGACGATATGAAACTATGGATGTTCGGGAAAGTCAGCCTGGCCGTCGTCACGATCTTCACGTTCACCCTCTATGTTCTGTCCTTCTATTTCAACTGCAGGATCGACGACATCCTGCACTTCAGGCGGATCATCAACGGCGACGCGCGAGTGACGAACGCGACGAAGAAGGTGCTATTCTGGAACACGATGTTCAACGACGAGACGTTTTACATGGGCAACGGCGACATCTTCCACGACTGTCCGGTAAACGATTGTTACGCGACGCACGACAGGAGCTACGCGAATCTCACGAACTTCGACGCGCTGCTGTTCCACGGTAACGAGCTCGATCTCGCTGATCTGCCGACGAGCAGAACGCCGCGGCAGTGGTACGTTTTCGTGAATCTGGAAAGTCCGGCCAACAGACCGCTGACCAGCTACTTTTACGAGGATTTCTTTAACGTCACGATGACGTACAGATTGGACAGCGACATCGTCTGGACCTATGGAATCGTTAAGGATTCCCGCACCGGCGAGATTGTCGCACCTAGCAGAAACGCGAATTGGCACGCGTTTTACAATCGGCCAGGTAACTTCGTCGACGACGAGATTCCTATATAATATCGGGTGAAACAAAGCTTTTGCGAATCGACGTATTTTCATTGTCGATCTTGTCAGAGATCGGCTACGAAAGAGGAGGGAATTTTAAAGCAACCAATTCTTGTGCCAATTTTGATTCAACGGATGAGGTAAACTTTGAGGATCAAAGCGAAAAGTTTTTAATATAATCGGAGAAATGATTCTTTTGCAAACCAATCTGTCTTCATTTGGACTTGTTAGTGGTTATAAAAGTGGTTATAAAAGTGGTTATAAAAGTGGGGGGAATTTCGAGATATAGGAATTCTTACGTCAATTTTTGTCTAACAGGCCAAGTAACTTCGACGACAATCTCGAAACTTTTATTCTTTATTAACCGGAGAAATGATTCTTTTATAAGCCAATATATTTTCATTTGGATTTGTTGGTGTTGGTTACAAAAGAGGAGGAAACATCGAAGTAACGATCGATAGGAATTTTAGTCCGAACGAAGACGCGAATTGAAAGTCGCGTTCTACAGTCGATCAGGTAATCTCGACGACAATCTCGACACTTCTATTCGATCAGAAAGAAACGATTTTGATTTGATAGTGTTGGCACACTAGCAAGAGGAGGGAAATTTCAACGTGACGAAAGCTCGTGTATCAATTTTGATTATCTCCGTATTTAGAATCGTACGGAAACGTGTTTCACCGTCGCGGTTATCTTGCGGATAACGCGTCATCTTGTCTCGCGTGCTTCATAATCGTCGCGGTGCGTAATTAATCTCGGTTGCCTGGGCGTTGCTTTTGCCTACGGCACGACAAAGAACTTGGCCATTTGCTGTCGCAACACGAGACACGGGTAGCTGTTCTTTCGTGGTTCGCGCATCCGCTCGAAACGAGCGGCAAAAACGTTTCTGCGGCGAGCTGTTTCTTCGTATGCAACCGGGGAACAGCAAACGTGTCTTTGGACGAAAAATAAAAGAGGGACTACGGTGGAATTGTTAAAGTTCTCCAACGAGATCGAACAGAGGGGGCGAGGAACGCGGGGGCGTTGATGCGTGTAATTAGAAATTAAATCGCGAGTTTTGGCTTTTTAATCATACGTGGATACGTGGATACGCGTGCTCAACACGGTGGTGATCGTCATTACGTACACGTTACGTGTCTCCCCGGAGGATTGAAAAACGCGGGTGTTACGTTAGAAGAGAAAAAGAGAGAAGGTTGACGAGTCACGCGAAAGACTGTAATAATTCCTCTGCGTAATCGTCGTTGCGTAACGTGCAGGGCTCGCACGGAATCGTGCTAATTAAAGTGTCGCCGATGACTTTATTAACCGTTGCAAATTAGCTGTCCCCCGTTTTTGCAACTCCGCCGCTCTTTGTTAGCCAGGTCACGTTCGGTTCGGTTCGCGTTCGTTTTAGCGAATTTCCCACAACCGAGGATTTGCTGATTCCTCGATTTCCACGATTCGAGAATACGTAGATAAACATTGGTTGCAAAGGTATCTCGCGATTTTTAAAGCTAAAGCCAAATGAAAGAACAATTTCCGATTAATTGAGAATGCTTTTGAATTCTAAACGATCTCGACTTCGAAACGATTCGTCTTCTATACTTTCCTCGAAGTCCTCGATTAGGCTTTTGCAATAGATCGTGTTGAAAAATAGAAATTTATTTTATTCTTCGATCCTCTTTAGTATACAACCGAGAGAACAGTATTTGCACGGACATATTACTCGCTAGAGATTCGCGTTAAAAACAAAATTCTCGAGCAATATGTTATTAATCCATTAACGTAAATTTAATTGGCGCGACACATGGTAGTACGTAAACACCAATTCGCAGAGGATAATTCTACATTTTTTTGTAACTGCTATATTAATCTATCTCAATGGCTCCTATATATTATATTTATCTACCTTCGTCTCGCTTGTCATTTATCTATACTATCATACAGAGTGTAAAACTTCCTTCCCACCTATTTTTTTTTTTTTTTTTCAAATAAAAACATCAAACTAATTTTATTAATTTTAAATTAAGTTTAAGTCTAATTTATGATTTTTTCATCAATGTTGAAAAGAATATAAATGAAAAAATTGCGGATTTATTTCTTGTCTCTTGTCACTTTTTCTTTTCTCTATAAGAATTCACATTTGAATAATGAACAAATCGAATGTAAATCATATGTCACATATGTTCTAATCGTGAATTAAACATAGAATGAACGAGAAATGGAAACCAAAGCAAATAATGATTTATGTGAAATCGTCGATCGTCTCACGTAAGGAACAATTTGCACAGGTGGCCGAGCGTTCGCCGACGAAGGCACCGGGTCGTCGTTGTCGAGGACGGTTCGAGGCAAAACGAGGCCGATCGTCTGGTTCGTGAGCAACTGCCAGGCGAAAAGCGGCCGGCAGGAGTACGTGAACGAGCTGTCCAGGCACATACCGATCGACGTTTACGGGAAATGCGGCAGCATGCATTGTCCATCGAGCCACGATTGTTTCGCACGAGTCGCCGAACCTCACTACTTTTTCTACCTGTCGTTCGAGAACTCGCTGTGCGACGATTACGTAACCGAGAAGCTGTACAATGCCCTCAGGTAAAAAACAATGGCCGCGGCGAAACGATCTGGACGATGAAATTGTCAGCCGCAGCTCGTGTCTACACCACTGTTCACCGATTTCGAATCGGCTGACGTACCCGCGTTTTCAGTTTCCAGTCCTATACAAAATTCTTTCCACACGTGACCGTGCCTGTCCTCCCGACAGACTTGTCCCATCTGCCACGTCCGTTTCGTTCCCTCCATATTTTGTTCTCTGTGATGGTCTTCTTTTTTTGTTGTTGTTTCTCAGCTCCTTTCTGCGCACGCGATAGGAATAGTAAATTAGAGAAACGACGGGGAGGGAAATATTTAAAACGAGCTCTTTTCAAAGCCGGATTGACTGCAAATTGGAAGATAAGCAAAAATGTTAAGCATAAATATCGCTAAATATGTATCGTATTATCTTCTTAACCCATTTGCATCCAAGCGCGGAATAATCCGCGAGCCTACGACTGCTTACTACATACGATCGACCGCGCGCGGTGATACGAGTCAGTCCTCAGTTGAACGTCGCTGATGTTTCAACGCGGCAGCTTAAGTAGAGCGATGATGCAAATGGATTAAGAGAAACAACTTTTTTTTTTTTTTTACGTGGAGGAAATCTTCATAAGATACCTGAGTCTTTTAAGGGAAGACCCCAACCAGATAGTGTCGGATTCTTACCGACTAAAACCTCCACGATAGCGAGTTCCGAAACCTTTTTATTACACATAGAGCTCTCCCGTGCTGTTGTCCTAAAGGACAATGTCTTTTTTCTTTTTTTTCACCCGAACCCTGGACCCTCAGATTAAGAGTCTGATGCTCTACCGACTGAGCTATC